CCATGACAAATAATTCAAGAGCCCAAGAAAGAAAAGACATTATATTAATCTCAAGTATGAATAAATCTTTATGAAGGTATGCAACATTGTTTTATTCTGTTTTTACTTAGTCCTAATTAAGTCGCTTAGCAGACAAATCAGCAACACACACACACCTTTACCTAAACTATTTCTTCCTTAGTTCCTAACACAAGTATGCTTAACATTTCATCAGCGCTATTCCTGTCCATTGCTAAGAACGTTTAATTAAGCTTTTAGCATTTTCCGCCAGATCTTGCGCACTGCACACACAATTTCAAAGCACAATATTTGTCATCAATATTTCCGAGAAATTAGTTTTCCTATCTAAGTGGATTCGTTGAATACACAGCCTCCACGTTCCCTACGTGTACGTACAGCCGCAAACTGCCTTTCTTTGCGAATTATTAACATCATATTTTTTTTACCCATATTACAAGTATAGAATACAACACAAGTAAAGACAGTTCATGAATGCATTCCAGTCTGTTACTAATTTTGACACTGAGATGCGAAAATCAACTTCATTGATAGCTCTCTGCATGGTGCAAGGGTGATAATACATGTAGGAAGACTTGTTTTTAGTTTCATTGTCTGAAATAAGGGTCTAGAAGAAATATTAGTTAATATGGATATAAATTATATAGAACGTACATATGTAGGTACATTGTAAATCAATTTTATGCGAAATTTTCTACTAAATAACTTAATTCCAGTTTGAGTTTTAAATACTTATGAAAATCCCATCTCAGTTTTAAAAATATGTACTTATTCAATCACTACATCGTATGTACATGACATATAATTAACCGTTTTTAAGGTATCTGCGCCATAGATACAGTAATTGTTAGCTACGTGGTACACAAGTGGTATGTGCCGACACGATTTTAAATGAACTACAATGTATAGAGATAAGAACCGCCCCTATCTCCCCTATCTACTAACAGTGGATTTTCGTGCAATGTACATGCATACTCTTTACCTTACTAATTGACTCCTATTATTAGAACTGCACGTAACGCAGTATTACACTAAAATAGCCGAAAGAGCGTCGGGGATTTCCAGTTGCAAATTTTTAGAAAACCCAGTGGAGTTATCTAACTTGCTTAGTGGCGCTGGATCGCGAACGGAAGTAGAATTAAGATGACAGAAAGCGCTTTGCGCTGCGCTTAGCGCTTAAAAATCACATTAAATGCAAACATTGGGTCACATATAATCTTTATATTCACTTTCGATATTGTCAAAATTTTACACAATACATGATGTCTAATTAAGCCTTTACTTAACAGTTTTAATAAATGTAATTAGAATATGAAGTCCGCCGACAACCACCATTATATGTAATAACTCTCCACATGCCCCTGTGCTAAAAATAGTGCCAAGCAACTTTTAATACAATAATTAAACAAAAAGAAAAAAAGGCAGGACACTTTGAGGGGGGCGAGAGAGGCCATAGGGAGTTATGGTGTAAAATTTCATTGCAAAAGCTTCTTGAGATATCGCACAGAAACGAAAGTGTTACACACAGAATGTATAAATTTACGACCTTGAACATTGACTTTCTGTCCTCAAGATCAATAGGGGTTTCCCTTTCGGAGGAGAAGGACACATGATCACATGACTCTGTTTAACTACGTCATAGTCTCCGTTTATATAAGTGCAAAACGTGTAAAGCGTCAAATCTTGGATTAATTTTTGACAATGTTTTAACTCTATTTACCATCTTATATAAAAAAGTAAAAAGTTTCAACATTCTGGTAAACGTTAACGAATTATGAAAAAGATTGATCCACTCCTCTGTTTCCTAACCTGCGCGTCCAACAAGTCGGTGACGTCATACACGATCTGTTAGTAGAGCAAGATCATACTCGGTGAATACAGGGACGGTATTATTATGTAAAATCAGGTCATAATCGGTATATGATGAAATATTTTGAGAAACAGGGAACACAAAAATTATTTTTGCATGGCTGATGACGGAAATCTTATGTATATCTTATTTAGCTTACGTGTGACGTCACAGTTGGATTTCCCGTACTCGAGAAATGTAACTTGACACGTTTTTTGTCATGCTTATGTCCTCTTTAACGATGTCCTGTGAAATATTGAGGTCAGCTTCATCATTTGAAATTTTTACAGTTAATCAATAATTTGAAGGATTTGCATTTCACCGTCAATAAATAAAAATATTGAATGATAGAATTTTTTTGTAAATTACGTTTTTTTTTTATTGTTTAAGTAGTCTTAAAAAGTGCGTAATTTTCCATATCCAGATGCAGTGTGATGGACAAAATTTGCTTTTTCGAATTTTAAATCTATTTATACTCTGAAATATTTTAAAAGATACATGTCCACTTTAATATTTTTATATATCCTTAAAAAATCCCATTATGGACAGAGAAATGAGTCCGGAAACATGGAGAATTAAAACTCCACTTAGATACGGTAGGGCATAGTATTTGTCAATCAATATCTCCAAAATAAGGTAAGAAACCTAATGATATAACTGCATTAAAATATTTGGGACATACTTAATTAGAAATGTACAAAATATGAAAAAAATGAATGAGAAGTATTTTTTTCAGCTCAAGGCCCTTCTCCTCCTTAAGCCACAGGGAGTTGTTATGTAAAATTTCTTTGCAAAAACGCAAACGATTCCCGAGATATCGCGCGGAAACGAAAGTGTTAAAACAGACAGTATTTATGAATTTATGACATTGACCTTTTGATCTCAAAATCAATATGGTTCTTTGTTAGGCCATAGGGAGTTGCTATGCAAAATTTCATTGCAAAAGCTCAAAGGTTTCTCGAGATATCGCGCGGAAACGAAAGTGTTACAGACAGACAGAAATACAGAGGGACTGACAAACGGACGGACAGATAGACCCAAATAAATATCCCCCACTTTCAGTGAAAGCGGAGATACAGAAAGAAATGAAATCCATAGTAAAAATACTTTGATTTACATGTACTATAGTAAAAAACTTTAATACTATAGTAAACTATAGTGAACTATAATTAACTATAGTTTATTAAAGTTAACTATAGTATTGTTTTGGTAGGGATTCGCCGGTAAAAGAACTAATAATTAAAGCAAGCTAAACATAAGACTCTGCTATTAATTCAGCATTGTGATTTCATTGGTCAAGATCAATCTGGTTTCACTTGATAAATTATTCATTCGCGGAAACGAAAGAATTTTGAAGTAGATATCCACTGGTTTATGTAAATAGAATGGACAAAAAACACGTGGCTTCCGAGTTGATTTGTCTCGCACAATCTCAGAACGCAAATCGATACAATTCCATTCAATTCAAGATATTTATAGAGTATTACAGGCCACCGGCCCAAAGTACAATCATATATTAAAATGCTAGATTTACAATTACAAATCAGGCTCACATATTTAAACATATACGTGGGAACATTTGAATTATGCTTATCAATTGTCACATATTAGATTCTCAATGAACTTTTCCCTCTCTTTGAAAGCTAAAAAGGAAAATTTTGCAATATCATTAACACTACATCATTTCCATATATAAAAATAATTCAGTGTTTTTCTAAAATCTCAAGTGTTTCAAAATAACATCATATTTTATTGTATACACTATTTAAGAAAGGAGTCAGTACAAAAATTTTTTATTGATTTTAAAGTCAATGTATTCCAAATTAACATCATGTATTAGAAGGCAAAATCATATTTCAGACTTTTTCCAGTGTAATATAGGCACTAGACAGGGTTGCATGCTAAGTCCTCTCTTATTCATCATGTTTATTGGTGAACTTACAGAATTATTAGAATCAATGGAATGTAAAGGTGTTTACATTGATGAGTCATTTCCTAACATTATGCAGTTACTTTTGCCGATTATGTAGTAAATTTTGCAGAGTTATTAATTCACAAAATCAAATTAAAGTATTAGAAAATTTTGCTATAAATATGACATGAAAATTAATTTACAAAAGTCAAAGATCATGGTGTTTAGACGTGGAGGTATAACAAAAAGTACAGAGAAATGGTTTTTTTGATGGAAAAGAAATTGTACCATTTTACAAATATCTAGGGTTATATTTCACAAGTACAATGTCATGGGAATTGACAATGAAGTCTCTGTGTGTGTCAGCAGAAAAAGCATTGCTTATTGTATATAAATTTACGAAGATGTACAATGCATCATATAAACAAATCTTTTGCATCCTTGATAGAATGATTGTACCTATTTTGACTTATGGTGCTGAAATATTGGGGTTTGAGTTATCTAAATGTATTGAATCTATACATACGAAGTTTTGTAGAAGAGTATTAAGACTCAAGAACAATACACCTGAAATAGTTGTCTTAGGAGAACTGGGGCGATATCCTCTTATGGTACAGTAGTAACAGTACTTTAAGAAATTTATTGCGTACTGGTTCAAGATACTTTGTATGGAAGATAACAGATACCCCAAAAGATGTTACTTATTTTTACTTCAGTTAAACATTGTTGGTAGAATTAGAGGTAACTGGGAATCAGCAGTGAAGTCAATGTTATTTAGATATGGTTTCCATTATGTATGGCTATATCAAGGTGTATAGGTGATAATGTATTATTTTTAAAAGAGTTTGTACAAAGAGTACAGGATAACTATATGCAGGAATGGCACTCATCATTGAGCTCCTATAGTAAATTAGATTTTCATTGTTAATTCAAAATTCTTTTTGAACCGGAAAGGTACATATATGTTATAAACAATACGTCTTTTAGAGAATCACTATGTAAATTAATAACTTCTAGTCACTGTTTGGAAATTGAACATGGTCGATTTAAGGGTAATTCTAGAGAAAACAGGTACTCTCTCTTTTGTCAAATAGTTAATAAAACTTGTATTGAGGACGAAGAGCACTTTGTAGAAAATTGTGAATTATATATGGATATTAGAGCAAATCGATACTTTACCTTTTCGTACATTTAAACGATTCATTTCTTTTGACCCTGCAGAATCAACAAAAATTCTAGCGGTGCAACCCATAGCGTTTTATGCTTACATGAGTGGCAATTTGAATAATCCTGGTGGACATAATACACTGATTTCTGATACGGTTAAAACAAATCAAGGCCTTGGATACCATCCTCTTGTCGGGGTCTTCATCGTCCCTAAATCTGGAACTTATTTCTTTACATGGACAATGTCTCTCCAGGCCTCATCCTATCACTCTGCAGAACTTGTCGTTAACAATGTCGCAAATGGCGCCATTTACATTCATACGAGTTCAGACCAGCGTGATAGTGCTACAGGAAACCTCATCCTTAGCGTGAACGAAGGCGATGAAGTCTATTTTCGCACAAAGAACAATTTCAATAGTGGCGGCATCATAAGTGATGCGTACGGCAGAACGGATTTCTCTGGATTTCTGATCGAATAACATCAAAAACCAAATTCAAATAAAAGTTCAGCAGTAAAATATCCATTATTTACTGTGAAATATTTTTGTCATTTGCGAAGGAAAGATTAAAAAAATTTGAGTAATAATGATTTTTTTTTCAAATTTCCATTTGTGAATGTATAGAAAAATGATAAAGAAATTTTAATTATATATTTGATGAATTTTGTAATTAAAGTAGGTTAATTTAATTAAGTTCTTAATGATTTATTACTATATCTATTCTTTCATTAGAAGCTTGTCATAAATAAGGTCCCCAGCCTGGACCAAATTGAAGGTACCCTATTAAAATAGCTGTTGTTTTCTGTCAGAGGGTTGATAGTAATTTGGAGGACAATGTACAACTTTTGGCTTCACAGGGACCAAGATCAAGATAATAAATGAAATATGTGGAGATAACGAACAGTATTCAAGCTCAAAAGTCCATTAAACAATACAAAGTTTGGAGCACAGCAAGCACATCAGAGGTGGGATCATGTGCCATGGAGGGGTGAGCATCTCCTGCCGACCGGTCACACCCGCCGTGTGCTCTTTGTCACTATCGGGTAATAACGGAAAAATCTGTCGACAATTCAGTGTGTAAATAATGGCCTAACAATAAGTATGAAAAACGTCAGTCACCATTTGACTTTATGATAAATAGTATTTGCTGATAAGGTCATTATATCGACCATATTGTTCATATGAAGAGCATGCTCTATTAGTATCATCAATTATGTAACTAAGTTATTGTAACGTGTCGGACGTGACCGGCCATTTGGTCCGTGCTCGGATTACCGAGTTTTACTGGGGGTATGATTAATGCAAAATATATAAATAGCGTGACGCCTTCCTTGTGTCTTTGAATCAAGTGACCTATGTGCTTTGTATATACAGTTTAAAATGACGCCTGCCTGGTGCCTTATATGCCCGACTCTGAAACCACTGTCTATACACGTTGTGGTGACGCTCAATCCAAAATTTCGCATTCCGTCTTTTTATATTTTAATTATGAAATAACAGGAAGTTATAAGATCGTACATGGAATGTTTATGCAGAGCAAGCATGCTGTTGTACGCTATTATTTTATGCAGAAATTAGGTGTTTTGGCCCTACACAGAGAAAGTGTTTTATCAAATTATATGAATTATTACTGTTATTATGAATATTGTAATTTTTTTCTGTTTAAAAACCTTTTATCAGAGATTTGATTGCTCGAGCATAATGTAAACAAACTTGGAAATTACTGCATTGTATTTTGGTCATGATTCGCTTGAAATATTTGGTATATTCTTTAAAGTAGCATTTATTTGATATTTTATTGATCATAATTCTATGGAAACATCAGTAAGGTTTATCCTGTTTTATTGTATTGTTTACAGTTTTGTACCCTCTCCAGGGGGTTTGGTTAGCAATAAAAATTGCACACACGCCAAATGACACCTTAATGGCGTCTCTGGGTAATTGGCCGGAGCTTATATCCTGACACCTGCCTGGTGTCTTACGGCTTACCAGTTGCCTAACTCTACCCAAGCCAAGTGACACTGTTATACAAACACAATCTAATCTGTCACTGATTATTCACTTTTCTGTCAAGAGGGTACAATGTCTGTTACTCCCAACACAGCATTTCACTGGTCAACGACTATGACATATTACACAGGGCAATTAGCACATGGCAATATGTTCACACCAACTTTCCCTCATTGGCCCATTGACTGTACTTCTCTTTGTACTCCAACGTAATCAATATTCTTAAGTTTCCCAATATTCTGTTAACAAAATACACCGAACTCTTTTGACGAGACAATTATTTTTTGACTTAACATCATTTATCAATTATACTTGTATCATTCTTCTATCAATCGACCAATTAATTACAATATTCATATCTATTAACTATTATATTAACAAGTAACGGGAGGTAACTCCTCCGACCATTTCATTATTTACATATAATAGCCGAGACAGTTCTTTAACTACTAGGTTTTATGTATATAGTGTCAATTAGTACAGAATAGAACATGCACTTGTTAAATTTTATTTAAGTGACTGACGCATATGTGTTACAAAATCGTTTAACATTGTTTGACTAACGGACTTTATAATTGTTACATTGGTAGAAAAATTAATTGAGAACGGCTCAAGAAAATTTTGAAATATTAGTGTGAAAGATCAAGGTCAAAGTTTACATATATTTGACCATTATTTGAAAATTTGATGTATAAACTTAAGCATTATTTATCGTGTAATTTCCAAAGAGCTATAGTTGCCTTGTCGATAAGACTTCCCAATCAAAAAGAGGAAACCTAGGCATTTCTATCTAAGCCCACTAATGTTAAGTACACCAAGAAAAAATGTCAATACTGCTTAAGAAATGAATTATGAAGAAACATTTCTTAGTCATAAGTTGTTAATTCATATACATAATTAATAACACATATACCTGTAAATTGTGATGAATATTAAATCACTACCAATACATTACTCAAGTAAAATCCAGTCCTATATCTGTTTTTTGGCTGAAAATATGATAAGACTGCTTCTCCCAAAGAGGAATAATGATTTATAGTCTGCTTTTAGGACAGTCGTGTTCTCTGGAGACTCAACCTGAGATATCTTTATCAGATAGGAACAACGCAAGACAAAGATAATGAATAAAAATGATATTTTATTTATTTACAATTTGATGATTAGACGAATAATTGATTGATTGTATGTTGTTCAAGAATTCCTTACTCATTTTGACACCATTTGGCGAGGAAGGGCTTCAAAAAAGGCACTACTCGGCACTCCGGGCCATTGAGCAGAGAAGCCTACCGTGACAAAGGACAGCGGTTTTCAAGGTCTCATACGACAGACCCTAGACTTTCACGCTGGAACAGTCACTAACCTATGTTTACGTCTTGGGTTCTTTTACCATCGTTCACTTTCCTTAGTAGTGATATTTCGCTATCACCTGCATATGGTATTTACGTCTCCCAACTTATTCTATACTCAAGAACATGCTTCTAGAACGATTAATCTTTTACCGAGTCAGGCTACTGAAAGATATATTAATGTTGCAAGAATTTTAATAATCTCGTTTAACGTCAGCATTCGTGAATTCTAAGGTCGTTTTAATGACTGTTTGCAAATATAATCTATCACAGTGTCGTATTTTGGCTGACGTATTTCATACCAACTGTTAGCCTTTGATTTTATGCTAAATTCGACTACGGAATAATCCGACTTTCTGATAAATACATGGGAATCACGGCGCGTTTGACCCGTTTACGGGAGATGCTTATTCCTCCTAGGCACCTGATCCCAACTCTGGAATGTCCGGGGGTCCTTGTTTTATGCCAAGTTCAAATATTTGTATTGGTTGTAGATTTTGAGATGGACCACTGTTCGTTATCTTTCCTTTTTTCAGCAAGGACGGGACGGCAGCTTGAATTAACTAGTCTAATATACGTGTACATAGAAAAAATCATCAAAGAAGTGCTACATTCTCTTATCGTATGTCATGTTAAAGCATTCTCATGCCTTTGAATGATAAATACAATTTTGAACCGCTAAAAGCCTACGATCCGTCCACCCAGAATCGAACCCAGGCCTCTGCAACCAACTTTAAGGTTTCGTAACTCTCACTAACTTTATTGTTCTGATACTGCAGAGTAGATTAGGGAACGTTACTCAATCGGCAAGATTTTTCCCAAAATTCATACAATTCATAAAATACCTCTATATTAGAGAAAGATTGTTTTGAAATACGTTACTCAGTATAAACAGGCGTTAAACCAAGGGTTTTTAATCATTTAGGAGAGCTATTAGAAACACCACGAAATTTCGAATTTAATTTAATCTCCCTTTGTGTATGGATTAAAAAATTGAGTAACACTATGAAATATATGGAGATAACGAACAGTATTCAAACTCAAAAGTCCATTAAACATTACAAAATATGTGCAGAGCAAACACGGACCTCCAAAACATCAGAGTGGGATCAGGTGCCATGGAGGAGTCAGTATCCCCTGCCGACCGGTCACACCCGCCGTGTGCTCCTTGTCATGATCGGTAAATGAGGGAAAAATCCGTCGGCAATTCCTAAATGGCCTAACAATAAGTATGAAAAACGTCAGTCAGCATTCATACTATGATTTCTAAAGCTATATGCTTGGAACTGTAATTTAAATGCGCTATAGCGAAACCATAACCTGTTCAGTGTATTGAATATTGCCATCAAAGGTATACAACAGTATATCTAAATATTAATCGTAAAAATGAAAAAAAAGAATAAAATCCTAGTATTTGTAAGATATTATTTATCAAAGAAGCCTTTTCGCAAATTCTAAGATCATTATAAAGATTGATTGATTGTATGTAATTTTACACCCCGTTCGAGAATTTTTCACTCATAAAGACGTCACCATATACTGGTGAAGGGCCTCAACTTTAGAGCTTTACTCGGCACTTAGGGCCATTGAGCAGTGAGGGATCTTTATCATGCCAACGCCTACCTTGGCACGGGCCCTCTGTTTTTAAGGTTTCATCCGAAGGATCCGTCATCATGAGACATCAGGGTTCTCCATCATTTGAAATTTTACTGTGTTGCAGACAATACGCGAAGTACTAATATATTCGCGACATTTTCGCGATCAAATTAGCAACTGAACCACACTATTCATTATAATAACGAAAGCATACACACCACTAATTCGTTACACAAATTGTATGGTCGGTACATATTAATAGAAAATGAAAAAATGAACAATTTAGAATCTACACTATCCAAGGATGTTTCCACATAAGTTTCAGCTTTTCTTGTCCAGTGGTTCTTGAGATGGTTTTAAAGATTTTTTCCTATATATTTCGATGTGAAATTTGGATTGCCTATTGTGGCCCCGCCCTACCCCCGGGGCCATGATTTTAACAATTTAGAATCTACACTATCCCAGGATGCTTCCAAAAAGTTTTAGCTTTTTTGGCTCAGTGGTTCCTGAGTAGATTTTTTAATGACCCCTCCCTATTTTTGTCTTTTCTTGATTACATGTATCTCCCCTTGTAAGGGGACTTGGCCCTTTACTTTAACAATTTAAACTCCCCTTCACCCAAGGATACTTTGTACCAAGTTAGGTTGAAATTGGCCCAGTGGTTCTTGAGAAGAAGTTGAAAATGTGGAAAGTTTACAGACGGACGGACGGACAACGGGTGACCAGAAAAGCTCACTTGAGCTTTCATCTCAGGTACGCTAAAAATTTGTACGATTTAAAAAAAAAACTTATGATTTATACTTAAATCACGATCTACAAGTTGTATGTTTATATCATTGTACGTGTATATTTTTGTAACTTAATATATTACACATGCACTGACGAGCAGAGGAAATTCTGGTCGATACAATAGAACTATTTACTATCCTTATAAGTAAACTTGCCTTAATTTTTGTCAGTTGATCGAATTACTTTTAAGTTTTTGAATTTAAAAAAGAAACTTTAGAATAGTAAAATACTTTTAGGGGATGCCTTAAAATTCTTCAACAAAACATTTACATCAACTGTTGTTGTAAATGTACTTCAACCAGAGAAGACATATAATACATGTCTCTGCTTCAACTAAATGATTGCGGCACGATGTTTCACTCGCAGTGCCAACATAATTCTAGAGACGTGGTTCTGAAGTAAAGACATGAAGTATATTTAATTAATTTTAAATGTTTAAAGAAGGCTTACTACACCCACAGTTTATTTTAGATTTCATTACAGCACCACTTATTATGAAGATTTCAAATATACAAATGGATGTTATGATAGGATAAATATTTTCTCAAAATTTTTTGGTCTTTTTTCTTATTTTGGTTAAATGTTTTATTTCATGTTTCTGATTTATAGTATTGCAGGAATCGCAGTGTCAAGTGATGGATATAATCTTCAGTTATGTAAGCAATATAATAACACTTCATAATATTCAATATTATTTCTAATAGAAAAAATATTTTTCTCCCCCCAAAAAATTAATGTGATTTTCTTCTTAATTTTTGCATGAATAGTCTGGAAAATCAGTTATAAATAGACAAGGAATGTATATTAATGAATAACAAGTGACAATTTGAATGAAAAATGTTTAAGGAAATGAAAATTCCAATTAAAGAAATACAATGTAATTGGAATAAAAAGTCCATTTGCAAGAGTTATCTTTCCTAAATCCCCCTGACTCAAACACCCAGGAACGGTTGAAAATATCAGATTCAGAATAAATATACATTTTTCAAAGAAATAAAGACAACCACACAAACCAACAATAGTACAGTACTCTAAAGGCGCAAGTCAATTATAATTTATTTCAACGAGGTTGTAGATTTCAACTCAGATTTCCTCTCTACATACATGCTGTCAATGGTGCTTTCGCCATGACATTGTACACTACTTGGGTAGCGAAGATTTGACTGTCATTCTATTTGGTCTCTACTTAAAAATAATCCTTCCTCGTTTGTGATTTATAATAGATCCGTTACCTTGTTCTCATTGTTTACAACGTCATCAAAAAGTGGTGTAAAGAGCCTCCTTAATAATATTTACAGATGCAACTAGCAGTTACACGGTTACATGGAAGTAATTGTCCGTGTTCCTTCATGCGTAAAGTCCAGCGAGGGTCTAGGAGATAATTGACAATGCAAGGTGGAGCAAGACAATGTGTCCTAAACAAGAGATATATAAGTGCTCAGTCTTAAAAATTGAAAGAAGGTAGATTTGTTGTATTAAAATTTCAGTTAGAGAGTATTTCTGTTCTGATTTCCTGATTATAGCAGATCTTACTGTGTCGCAATTATTTTATTGTGTCGCACGCATAAAATTTGAATCGATACTAGGTCGGGGAAAATTTTACTGTGTCGGGGCCGACACAGTAAAACAGCTTATGGAGAACCCTGAGACATTGTAAATACAAGTCTTATTTTGTCTGACATGTTTCGCACCACTTTTTAGATCATTGCTTTTAATCTTAATTGTCTACTTCGTCTGTCTGATCAAAACATAGGGTTCAGGGCGGGAGTGAACGTTCGACAGGGGATGCTTACTCCTCCTAGGCACTTGATCCCGCCTCTGGTGTTTCCAGGTGTCCTGTGTTTTGCCTTTTTCAAGATTCCTTCCTTTAACTGAGTTTATGGGATTGACCACTGTTCGTTATCTTTACCTTTTACACGTTACATAATATTTGCACTCAGAATGAAATCAAGCATATGGTTCAAGGCTTTAGAGATCATTTATTCAAATGCAGATAAACAGTAGTGCGGTCTGACCACATGGGCACAGGTAGAACTTATTGTATATACAAAGGTGCAGTACAAGACATGGTGCTCTGTGTGATTCTCCTGCTGTTTGGCAATTTTTCTCCTGCTTGTGGTAAAGACGATCGTGATCTAGAAAATGTTTTACAGTTTGTGTTGCAGGAAGTACAGTTGCTACGTTCTAGGATGTCAGCGTTAGAAAACGTAATTGAAAATCAGAACGAGATCATTCGAGACCAAAACATGAGACTTATTCAACTTGAAAAGCTAAGTGCACCGAAACACTCCGATGGTCATGCTGTTGAAAAAACAAATTTGATAACGATAACTGATAACACTAAACGTACCCAGCTTTTTAATCCAAAGGGATCAAATCAAACAGGCATTGAATTTTATAGAAGGCACGTTCATTTACCTTGTAGAAGGAAAGGAAACCAAAGGATCAGGCGGGGTATGTTTTATTCACATTTTGCAAAATACAAGTAGCCTTTTTGAAATATTCAATATGTTATAATAAATCCCCTAGAGGGGAAACATTTCCTATATCCTCATTAAAAATCAAGGCAAAAATCTTATTCATGGACTTTCAGGGATGGTGATTCAAACAGTCATAATTATGTCAAAAATCAAAAACTCGTACTGCCCATAACCAAAAATTCAGCATTTTTTGCAAATATCGAAAAAAAAACTATTATTCTGACTGTCATGCATCACCAATGGGAAAGTTTTCCTATGTTCAGTTTCCGAGTATTTAGAAAAATTTTTTAAAACGTTTCTTACAGACATGACTGACGACAGAAATACCAAACAAACGAAAGACAGATTAAAACTGTAGGCCCCACGACAATGACTTTTCTTGAGAGACTGCGCTTTTAGATGTCCAAAAACTTTTGTCCTTAAATGATTTACCTTTGTACTTGTACCTTAATTTGAGAATTCAAATCGAGACTTTACCTTTTTTTCTTCTTATAGATACAACAAGAATCCTAGCAGTACAACCCATTGCGTTTCATGCTCACATGAGTAGCCATTTGAATAACCCTGGCGGGCATCATACTCTGATTTTTGATACGGTCAAAACTAATGAAGGCAATGGTTACCATCCTCGTATCGGAGTGTTCATTGTCCCTAGGTCTGGTACTTATTTCTTCACCTGGACAATGTCTCTCTATAACTCAGCCTCCCATTCTACAGAGTTGGTCGTTAACACGGTTCCTAATGGAGCAATTTACGTTGCTACGATTGCAGGTCAGCGTGATAGTGCTACTGGAAATGTTATCCTAAATGTGAACGAGGGAGACGAAATCTTCATCCGCACAAGGGACACTGATAATTATGGACAAATTTTGAGTGATGATTTCAGCAGAACGGATTTTTCTGGATTTTTGATCGAATAGCATCTAAAATTTGAAACAAAACTCGACAATTTAAGATTCTAAACTTTTTATTACCAAACCTTAGTGCATTAAAATTTGAAACCTCCTGGTACAAGTAGTATTTTCTTTTCTGTTAAAGTTTACTTTTTTATGTGCTCACAATCGAAGTTTTAGGTATGTCCCCCTCCGCCTGTCTATTTGTCTGCTGTTTGTCCGCAAAAATTTAAACATTACCAAATCTTTTGAATGGTTGTGCTAGAGCTTTCATATTTCTCAAGCGTATTCCTTGTACCTAAACCTTTCCTTTGGTACCAACATTTTTACCTTGACCTTGAATTTTGACCTATTTTTACAAAATGTTATCAACATTTTCTTGGCCATAACTTCAAAACAGTTGGAACTAGGGCTTTTATATTTCGCATTTTATGCATTCCACATGACCAAACCTTTCTTTTGAATTTTTTTGGATCTTTTGGCCTTGAAGCTTGACCTTTTGAAGACTGTAACCTTGCTATAACTTTTGAAGGAATGGTGCCAGGGCTTTCATATGCATATGTGTATTCCTTGTGATAAGACCTTTCTTGGGAACCAACATTTTTTTCTTCCTGACCTTGACCTTTGCATTTGACCTGGATTTGAAAAGACTTTGATCTTGCTTATAACTTATGAACGGTTGTCTGCTAGGGCTTTCATATTTAACTTACATTTTTTTTGTGGCAGGACTATTCCTTTCGTTACCAATAGATAGGGCTCAAGACTCAACATTTCCTTGATCTTGGAAGTATGACCTTCTTTTGAAAAGAAAAAATTATAACTTTGACCATATTTTCCGAATTCTTTCATATTTCATACATGTATTTCTTGTGCCAAGACCATTCTTTGGATATTAAGGTTTGACCTACATTTTAAATACGTTTACCTTGGCCTTGAGCTGTCATGATCAGTGTTTCACATGCACATTCTGTTTTCAATATTGGTTTTTTATGAGAAGAGAGTCCCTGCTAGCCACAAATGCAGTTAGTACGGTCAGGTGCGCCAATTAAGAAATCTGCATCAACTAGTAACATGGAGGCATCCCGAGAGTGAAATTGAAATCCTTATAAGGACTCAGTTTCGCCTCGTCAAGTACGCCGATTTCAATGGTGGGACTTCATTTGTCAAACCGGCACACGCCGAATGCGCCGCTTGACCTTTGATAACCCGGCTTGTTACTTCATTTGACCGGGGAAGGTTCGCCGGCGTACGCCGATCTCGCCGATTTGAAATGACCGGAGAGGGATTCGCCGGTCTTAGAAATACGACGGGAAGATAAAACAACTGTTAAAATGCTGATACTTTTTACCAACTCGGCATGTTCTTTAATTGTTTGCATTTTTTGAACAAAATAAATCTCCATTCATATATTTAAAATCTGTTGTTATTTTAGAAATTAAAATTTTTCATGAGGTCCTTGATTTTTTTTTACATTGAATTTTGAATAATTCAACCTTTTTTTCGCTAAGACATAATGTAAAAAGTGATAGATCATAATTAATTGATTATTATTTAGAATAATTATATTTTGTTTTCGCCGGTTTACTTCATTTGCCACTTAGCTGTTTTACGCCGGTCATATGACCGGCGCAATTCGGCGTACGCCGATCTGTAACAAATGAAGTCGGCCCCATTTTAAACCTGGGAAGACTCGCTTGCATGCGCCAAACTAAGTAGATAATTATATATTATACAAGTGAATGCATATATAAATAATTTCCATTACAAACCATCATGTACATGTAAGAACAATGTTAAAGTACATGCAGTTCCTCTCATGATGATTTGTGAAGTCATAATAAAACTGTCAAAATACGTTCATGGTGCTATTATAATTGGTCGCTGTGATGAACTGTTCAGCTTTATAAAAGGTAAAGGGAAAAAAGGCTAAGGGTTTAAACGATCGCCTGAATATGAGAAATGTACATGTACAACCTTGTAAATGATAAAGAATAAAATCTAATGATTTTATACTGTAAATATGGTCCTTCAGCATAAAACCCTTTAATCATGCTGTCCTGTTCTTTTAGTTATATTTATTGTACGCATTTAAATGTAAAGTATTTTTACTGATGTTTATTTCATATTTACAAGTCTACATGACCATTAAAAACAATAAAAATACATTTTATGCCCCCGTATCGAAGATTCAGGGGTATATTTCTTTGGGTACCACCATATTTGACCTTTTGACCTTGACTTTGGAGTTTGACCCAGTTTTGCGAAAAATTTCCCAACTTTATTCTTGGCCACAACTTTTGAACAATTGGTGCTAGGGCTTTCATAGTTCACATGTGTATTCCTTGCCACAAGACCTTTCTTTGGGTACCACCATTTTTGACCTTGAAGTTTGACTTACTTTTGACTTTAACTTTTCAATCGTCAACTTCCCTTACTTATGCAGCAATATACCTTCATCACCTGCATACGGGGTATATATCTCTCAGTTGATTCGATACGCAAGAGCATGCTCTACGTATGTACAATTTCTAAAACGAGGTAAATTATTGACAAATAAGTTAATGAAACAAGAATAGCAGCTGTCTCGTTTAAAGTCATCATTTCGTAAGTTCTATGGTCGATACAATGACCTTGTCAGCAAATACAATTTATCATTGAGTCAAATGCTGACTGACGCTTTTCACACTAATTGTTAGGCCATTATTTACACACTGAATTGTCGACGGACTTTTCCGTTATTTATCGATCATGACAGGGAGCACACGGCGGGTGTGACCGGTCGGCAGGGGATGCTCACTCCTCCATGGCACCTGATCCCACCTCTGATGTTTGGAGGTCCGTGTTTGCTCTGCTCCTATTTTGTATTGATTAATGGACTTTTGAGGTTGAATACTGTTCGTTATCTCCATATATTTCCTTTGAAAAACTTTAACATTGGTTATAACTTTTGAACGGTTGGTGCTAAGGCTTTCATACTTGGCATATAAAATCCTTCTGACAAGACCTTCCTTTAGATGCCAACAACTTTGACCCTTTGATCTTGACCTTGGAGTTTGACCTACTTTTGAAAAACTTTAACCTTGGCCATAACTTTTGAACTGTTGGTGCTAGGGCTTTCTTACTTTACATATATAATCCTTGTGACAAGCCCTTCCTTTGGATACAACTTTGACCCTTTGACTTTGGACTTTGACTTACTTTTCGAAAACTTTAACCTTGTAAACATCTTTTGAAAAGTTGTTGCTAGGGCTTTCATATTTAACATGTTTTTTTCCTTGTGACAAGACCTTCCTTTGGATACCAACAATTGTAATCCATTGACCTTGACCTTGGAGTTTGACCTACTTTTGAAACACTTTAACCTTGGTCATAACTTTTGAACGATTCGTGCTTCAGCTTTCATATTTCACCTGTATATTTCTTGTGAGAAGGCCTTTCCTTAGGCACCATTAATTTTGACCATTTGACCTTGATGTTTGAATTACTTTTAGAAAACTTTAACTTTTTCCATATCTATTCAATGGTTGCTGCTAGGGCTTTCATATTTCACAGGTATATTCCTCGAGAAAAGACCCTACTTATTTGCATTTGAGAAAGTTTAACCTTTACTATAAGTTGCCATACGGGGGCATCAGTAATTCACAAACACATCTTGTTTTTTTGTATTATTCATTTATAATTCTTCATGAATTATTATATTCAATACTAGACTTTGACCCGTGCGTGCACGGGTTGACATTGTTATGAATGCATCCATGTGCATATCGGACATTTACCAAGGGTATCCTAAGTAGGAAAGTAGGAACTTGAAAGTACTTCTTGCTGCAATAATGAAGACTTTTCCTGGGGGTGGGGGTGGGGTACAACTCTTTTTGGATCATACAATATCATTTCCACTTTTTAATTGAAATCGTACAATGCAATCGGAAACATTTTAAAATTAATGTTTTTGATGTAATTATTAAGAGCATAAATTTTTCCAAAATATTTAGTAAAGTCTAAGTTTACCGCAAACTTTAAAGTTTACTGACCTTCACCGATTTTATTTTGGGACAGCCAATGAAAATTTGGGAGCGGATCTTGAACTGAATATGGGGATTTTTCTTACTTCATACGTAAATAATGCAGCAAAAATAAAATACATACCTCATAAACATTAATATATCTATTTAGTGATAACAAAAGTTAATCTACTGCAGTATTAAACGTTTTCAATCAAAAGTAATTACATCACTTGAGAACTGTCATGGGCTGCTGAAGAAGACAATTTAACTTGTTTTTTGTGTGTATTTTTTCTTGTGGCGATTTAATAAAACGTTAGTTTGTTTGCTACGATTAAATATAATTCATTTCATCAATGAATAAATATTTTTTTACGATCTTAATTTTGTCCCGCCTCATAGTTTTGAGATTTACTATACATGGATTATATTTTACAAACAATCGATATTTTAGCAGCATTGATGGAACAGTGGCGGATTTAAGGGCGTGGCGCACCCGGCGCCCCCCCCCCCCCCCCCCCAAAAAAAAAAAAACTGTCAAAGCGTAAATCATAGTTTCGTCGAGAAAATGTAAAAATGCCCACTCGATAGACCTCATTTTTACCCTACAAAATCTCTAGAATCCAGGAGCTTCCGGGGGCTTAGCCCCCTGGGTCCCCCAGGGCTTCGCCCTGGTCCCACTGGCTGCCTCAAGGCGGCCACCAGACCCCCTGCCTACTTTATGCGCCCCCTCTAACTTGAATTCCTGGATCCTCGACTGTCTATGAACTGTACGGGCCGCAAGGGCTGACTCCAGACTACCTATCAAGCGTAGTTACCATGACAACCTTTGCATATTTAGAAAAACAGGCTATCCCTTCTATATAACCTACTGAAGATCAATAACAATAATTTACATATTTTACCCACTTTTTTTTGAAAGTTAAAGAAATTTTTGGAGGTGAATTTAAATATAAGCAATAAAATGCTTTCTTTGATGGTTCACGTGGGAAATGCACGGCGCAAGCATTGCAGAAAAAAATTACA